CCCATTTCTACAATGATAGAAATACACAGCGAATTTTACAAGTATGTGAAAGTAGAAGTTGATATTCAGCAACTCAAGTAATGTTGAGTGTTCGACTTTGACATGAGCCAACACTTAAACAAAGTGAATTATCCGAAGTCGTGTCCAGTATTTGTGTGAGGGTCAGAACACTCTAACGTGCAACAGTTGAAAGATGAGTTCCCGGAGTCAGTCTTGGCAGCAGCGGGAGCAACAGTAGCAGATAACATCAGGTTAAGGCGGCCCGCGAGACTAAATGAATAAAACATTATGGTTGAGAGACTGGAAACTAGTGCATTGTTAGTCCACCAGTCTTAGCTGACGTATCATGCAAACTTCCCCCACTTCTGGTAACATTGCGAGATAGTAGTTCCAATATTCTCTGAAACATGACGCTAACTTTCTCTAGATTTGGTAAAATCGAGAGATTGTTAACAAAAATATACAACACATGCGGCGCCATTGCTATGAGTTAACTGCAGCCAAAACTCCTCCAATATTATGACTACAGTAAATTAATCATTTCCTCCACTGACTTGACTTTACTGAAGTGATGCTCCTCCAGTGTTGAGAGTTTACGACAGTTGGACCTCCTCCAGTATTGTGGACCACAGAAGCTCTCCGCTTAAAGGGCTCTACATCACATGACGCTCTTCCAGGATATGAAAACACAAGGTTATAACCCCCCCCCCCCAGCCTATAATACGTGGCGATCTTCCTAGTGATATACAATAAGATGACAGAACATGAATATTGTCCTTATAAGTATTTTATGATAACAGCAAGAAGAATTCAGCTTGTGTAGTGAGCTCAGACCACACCAAACTCCCGTGGGTTGTAAAGTGACAACACACAAAACACCTCCCCCAGACTTGAGTGTATTGCATACAAAATTTTTCAGGTGCTGTATCTTTACAATACAAGGAATGTTGTGGGAGCAGTGAACCTTCAACACGGAGTGGTCCAGTGGCGTGGGTTTTACCTTTAGTAAGTTTAAAAGGAGAGACGCTCACAGGTTTACTCAACGCTGAGGTAAACTCTAGGTTATTAGTTTAAATCTGTTCTATTTTATGTGTGAGTGAGGGGCCTGAGGGGGTATGTTTGTGAATGTCATCCTATGTATAATCATTAGATTCTTAAAATCAAATAGTCCATCTAACCAACACCACCAACACCACCACCACCACCACCAACACCACCACCACCACCACCGTCGCCAGTGTTGCTGAGACACAACCTCCCCCCCCCCACACACACAGGCTGAATGAACGTTGCTCGCGGGGGACCTGTTGAATGGTAAACAAGATCCCGAGTGTGATATCAATCCAGGATACAAATTTGTGAATCAGATGACCCTCCATTAAGATAGTTCCATCCCCTTAAATCGAATGTCTTTTATTATCCACTTGAAGGGTAATTTGCATGAGGATATCGAGCTACCTTCTTTAGATAGGCATCCCCCTTTGTCGCGGAAAAGTCCTGAATCACACCAATTATTCTTCAACTGTTTGGGTGCAAAAAACTGTCTAGACAAGGCAAGAGAGGTAATTGAAGACACAGTGGTGGGGCAGTAATAAACACAGTGAGGGCCCCGCACACCGCCGTGTTGTGGGCGTCACCAGGTGAAGTGAACGACTGTGAGAGTTATATTGTCGCCTCCCACTGTCCCGCCCAGCCTAGCCTCACGCTCACCACTATCTTCATTCTCTCTCAGCGGTTCAAGTTTGCAGCCCAGCAGTAGTTGATAGGCCAGTTATATGAACATGCACTCGGGGAGCTCAAGACATACATGATTCTTTGAATTTATCAAGTGTCTGCAACATTACAGTGCACAATGTATGGAAGAGATCGACTTATTGGCAAGGGCAGTGTATGTACAGTATGTGGCGTTGTGTTGGGTAATGACATCAAATGTATCGCTCATCTCTAGCACGTTAGGCGAACACATCCTCTACTCCAGGCTCTAGTGTTGCTTTTCTTCTCCAGGCAATGGTGTTCCTACTCGTCTCCAGGCACCAGTGTTCCTACTCTTCTCCAGGCACCAGTGTTCCTACTCTTCTCCAGGCACCGTGTTTCTCTTCTCCAGGCAATGGTGTTCCTACTCGTCTCCAGGCACCAGTGTTCCTACTCTAGGCACCAGTGTTCCTACCTACCCTGTAAACACTGAAGTGTAAGCAAAATATATTTTATGTTAAAGATTTATTCACAACTATATAATTTTCCCAATAAAATGTACCAACAGTAATATACTTCAGTATGTTGATCTTCCGTCTCCCACCCCACGCCTTCTTCCTCCTCCCACACCACGCCTTCTTCCGCCTCCCTCCCCACGCCTTCTTCCTCCTCCCACACCACGCCTTCTTCCACCTCCCACCCACGCCTTCTTCCACCTCCCACCCCACGCCTTCTTCCACTTACCCTCTACCAACCCTCCACCTCACCCTCAACCATCAATTAACTTCCCATAAGTGTCAAGCTCCTCCTCCAAGGCTCAGGTGACGTTCATGCCAAGGGTGACATACAAGCCTTAAGCATACCCTTTGATGCCGAGTCTCCCGGAACTTCCAACTCTCACTTACTTGAAGGATGACGTGAATTACGACACAAGTTAACGGGACAATTATCATCATATTCAGCCCCTTAAGACGTTGTAAATTAGGTAGTATATCGCTGTACGCCGACGTTTACACCTGACCCCCAGTTCATTCATGAGATCTGGTGAATGAGTGTTAGTCGGTGCTCAGCTGGTGGAGTCCCGACTTAGCTTGGCGGCTCACCAGAATTTTGCGAAGTGAGTCATGAGTGAATGACATCGTGGGTGAATGATATAGTGCAGTGGTTCTCAACCTTGTTTGCCCCATGCACCCCTTTCACCATATGTCAGAATGTCATTCCCCCCTCCTTTCCAAGATTGTCTGCCTCAAAAAGTGCATTCCAAATAATATGCATATAATACTGAAAATCCTTTATTTTTTCCATATTAGTACATATACATTTACAATTTTACATGGATTATTTTTATAGTGGAGTTTTACAAATTAAATGCCAATTGAAAATGTTGATGGATTTATAAAACTTGAATAAAAGTAAAATAGTTTTTTATATATTTATAATGAATTACTTAACAGACCAAACTGAAGCATAATGCAATAAACAAAAAGTTCAATAGAATACCAGGATATTGTAAATTTGTAATTAATTTTATTCAGATGAAGATTACAGTCAATGAGAAACCTGTGATTGTTTTTTCTTCGCCAATTCTGGGATACGCGGAGGAGTGCTTGAAAGGGCACAACGCAGGTCATTTTCTACCTCTAATCTACTACGTTGCTTCGTTTTAATTTGCAACAGAGTTGAAAAGCCTGACTCACAAAGATATGTCGACACAAACGGAAGCAATGCACGGATAGTTCTTTCTGCCACTTTTGGATAGGAATCGCACATCAAGGGCCAAAATTCTGTGATTGATTTTTCATCGAACATATCTCTTGCTCCCGAATCAGTTTCCCCCTCCCCCTGAAAACCTGAATTCCCCCCCTGGGGGAATTCCCCCCTGGTTGAGAACCCCTGATATAGTGGGTGAAGGATATCGTGGGTGGACGATATCGTGGGTTTATCATATCGTGGGTGAATGATATCGTGGGTGAAAAATATCGTGGGTGTGTTGTTGGTGAATGATATCGTCCGTAATGTTTGTTCAGAGGATCTAGTGCTGGTAAAAACATCTTTCTGATATGCCAAGTAAGTGAGCAAACACTGACCCTAGAGTTCATCAATGGAGGTTTCACTGTAACACAGCTCTTTCTGTTACTGAAAGCTATCATAATTGTTTTACCTGGAGATGAGAAATCACACAAACGATACATGAATAACTTAGAGGAGTAACAGCAGTGTATTAAATTAACTTTATTTCACACCAGTTAGTCAGGTTAATTAAGGAGGAAACTAAGATGAATAAAATCCCCACCCTTCAAATGGTTTAGGCTCGTTTTCTCCGACCTAGCCAGGAAGATTTATCCGACATAGCCTAGAAGATTTATCTGACCTAGCAAAGAAAATTTATCCGACATAGACTACAAGATTTATCCGACCTAGCTAAGAAGATTTATCTGTAACACAAATATTCGCAGGATCTTTCGTTTTAATTAAGTTTCAGAACCTAACCTAACCTAACTGAACCTAACCTAACCTATCCTAATATAACTTACCTGAACCTAACTTAACCTAACCTAACCTCATTTATACAAAGATTATTCACCATTTAAAACTTCTCAGAAATTTTTATCAACAAGAAAAAAGTCAAAACTATATTAAGCTGAAAACTGAACTTTTGGCGACGGGGTTCAATACTGAGATGAACACTTTATAATGAACAGGTGGTAACTGGTTTGGTTATCATACCAGTTTACTACAGTCAACTAAAGTCATTAACTAGGAGATAGGTCAGTGTTGTGTTGAGGAGCCCTGACACTGTCCACTCCCTGACACTGTCCACTCCCAGACACCGTCCACTCCCTGACACTGTCCACTCCCTGACACTGTCCACTCCCAGACACTGTTCACTCCCAGACACCGTCCACTTATATCTACCAGCAAATTAGCTGTCTTAATGAATCAATTTAGGCGCCATAAAGATAGTCTCTGACAGCCAGGAAAAACTCTCTCTGTCTCTTGTGTGTGTGTGTGTGTGTGTGTGTGTGTGTGTGTGTGTGTGTGTGTTTGGGGTTAACGGTTATCATCGTCCCAAGAGTGCTATACAACCACTACGACAGGAGATTTGTCTATGAATATAATAAAAATAAACATCAAATATGACTAATATTCTGTTATTATTATTAAAACAAAATGATAGGACAAGACCCACAAAATAGTTTATGTATATTGAGCCCAATAACGAGGACACACACACACACACACACACACACACACACACACACACACACACACACACACACACACACACACACACACACGTCACCTACCTGCAGCGAGTCACAGCTTCACTCGGTTACGTCAGCATTCACCTCACTGCCGTTGTTACCTGAGAATAGAGAGATTGAGAATTATTAGGTGTATATAAACAAGGAGGCGAAACGTAGTGTTGGATAATATATGGGAGGGGAGAGGAGGAAGAAGTTGAGGATGATGATGGTGAATAAAGAATAAAGAAAGAAGAAAGGAGAAAATGTGTGATAATAATAAATAGGATAATAATAAACAGTATATTGACAGAAAATTTCAGCTAAGGCGAAATACACAATGAACAGAAATTGTGTAAATTGTATAAGGAAATATTGGGGAGTGGGTCATAAAACAAGAGGAGGAAACATGTAGTGAACAAATATGTTAACAAGGGTCCGATACTTTTAACTGTGGTTGGAGAGGAAATGGTCTTAGCCCTGACATTGGCGTGGTGTTATGCAGCTCTGCGTGTGTGTGTGTAATAATAATAATAAATTATTATTATTATTACAGGTTATACGGAAACAAAATAGTTAATATAAACTAATGTTAATGTTTATTAAGCAATATACGTAATGTATTTAACATATATATGTGAAAGTGCTTCAAAAAATATATATGAACATGTATTTACATTATAGACTGACATATTTTCAGACATTACAGATTGTGGTTGCATTTGATGATGACATGGTGGCGTAAGTTCTCAAAGTTAAAACCCCGCCTGTTGTCTGTCAGCATAGCTTTATATTCTGAGAACACCCTTTCTACATCACACGAGACGATTGGTGCATGTTTCATACATAGGAGGTCTGACATAGTGAGTGGCTGTACCGTCTCGTCAATAATAGCATCACCAGACATTATCTGACTGACTTTTTTCAGCTTTTCAAATCCCTTGTTTTTGTACAACACGTTACTCAGTTTACCATAGTAAGCATCAGACTGCAAACTTTTCAGTTCATCAAGAACACCATTAACCAACGAAATTGCCAAGGACAGCAGTAGTCCCCTTTCTTCAAGTCTAGTAATTGTTGATGAGATGCACGCAAAATTCGTGGGGGTGGGGTTAACCCAGAAATACCAATGAGTCATGACCAGGTGTGGAAACGACAGATTAAAGCGACGTGACCTCACCTCACTTCACCTAACCACACCTCACCTCACCTCCCAGTACCACGTGTGCTCATTCAGTGGCAACAAAGAGATACTGCCAGATGAATATTTTACCAAAATATGCATTTATATGCAGTTATCTAGGTAATATGCACTTATCATAGAAATCACGTAAAATATGCATTTGCATATGAAATATGCAAATGCATAACTATCCGGGCCCTAATAATAATAATAATAATAATAATAATAATAATAATAATAATAATAATAAAAGGTTTATTAATAGAGTTGCAGCCGGTGGCTGAAAATATACAAACTTACATGTGATTTAGACATAATGATATACATTCAATACATTTACAGGGCTGTACAGTACATAAATCAGGAGTTGTTTATTATTTTAACAACAGATGGGATGTTGCTATTCTTATATCTATCGGTGCGGGCTCTTATGGGCTGAATTTTGTTGTAGTGGCGGACTGGGCGAGGTGGGTGGGGGGCTGCCGGTGGCAGGAGGTGGCGATGACGAGGGTGGTGCAGTAGTCCACTGCCAAACCTTTCCAGTGCTGGGTCGTGGAGGTCACTGAGGGATGGCATTTCCAGGGTGGAGAGAGCGTTGATGTAGCCGGAGTATTCTGCACCGAGCATGATTCTGCAGGCCCTTTTCTGTACCTTCTCCAGCTGACGTTGTTGGGTGGAGTTGAGAGAAGACGACCAGGCTGGTGACGCATATGTTAGTTTAGGGAGAATAAAGGCGTTGTAGATGGTCCTCAGCTCTGGCGTGGGTGTCCTAAGTGACCTAAGTCGTCGTAGCATGTAGAGACGGTACGAGGCTGCCTTGGCTGTGTTATTTAAGTGGGCCTTCCAGTCCAGTTTGTTGTCTATAGTTACACCCAGGAGTTTGGCCGACTGCACCAGCTGGAGAGGATGGGCACCCACTGTGACTGCTGGGGCTTGCTCTGCAGTGGTGGCGGTGTTGATGTGCATTACTACGGTTTTGGTGTGGTTGATAGTGACCTTGTTCTCCGTAGTCCATGCCTGTAGCCTGTCCAGGGTGCCTTGTAGTCTGGTGCGGTGTTGTCCACTGAAACCCCCAGAGTGCAGTCATCTACGTACTTCCACCTGTGTCGAGTGTCCGATGGAGCGTCATTGATCAGGATGAGGAAGCACAGTGGTCCCATCCTGGTCCCCTGGGGAACACCGCAGGTGAGGTGTTGGAATGTGGAGACCGAGCTCTGATACCTCACTGCCTGGCGGAATCCCTGTCAAGAAATCAGTGAGCCATGAGACCAGGTTGGTGGGCAGCCCTAGTGCAAAATGGCCTTGTTGATAACAATGCAGTGATCAACAAGGTCAAAGGCCTTCCTGAAATCAACAAGGGCAACGGCCAGTGATGTCTTACGTTTCTGCAGGTTTTTGTGCAGAAAATCCAGAAAGCTCACGAAGCAGTGTGATGTAGAAGAGGTCCTCATATTGCCAAATTGCTGTGGATCAATTGACTGATAGATTCTGGCAAATGCCCACTCAAATACAAAGTCCTCACAAAGTAGACTGGGTATGGGGGTAATGGCAACTGGCCTGAGGTCGTTAGGGGACTGTGGGGTGGTGACCTTGGGGATGAGGGTGACAAATGCGGTTTTCCATTCATTAGGGCATTTGCTTTGTCTGAGGGATGCATTAATAATAGAACAGAGGGGGGTGGCAAGTTCGACTGCAAACTCCTTGTACATTTTGATTGGGTGGTCAATTGGGGTCGTGGAGTGTTTGGATTTAAATTTCAGGAGTTTGTTGGCGATTTCATATGGTTGGACACTGGGACGGGGGGAGGGGGAAGGTAAGTAAGCTGGGAGGAGAGTGAAGTCAAGACTGGGTAAGGTATGACATATGGTAGCAAAATAGTTATTAATTATCTCAGCTGCCTCCTCACTAGGTAAATGTGAGATGAAAGGAAGTGTGGGAGCCTGACGGTTGAGACCACAGAGATCTTTTACCTTGGAGTACCACTGACCGATGCCGACTTCCTTGAGGCCGTTCACTTTCCTGGGATAATAAGTCTTCTTGGCCGACTTGATTTCCCTGATGACCTGGTTACGTAGACTTTTGTACAGGCGGTTATTGGTGTAGTATGCTTTGTTGCGCTGCTCAATAAGTCCTTCACTAAACACATGCCACACTTAAACATCAAAGCATTTCCGCCAACACATACACAACATAATAATTAGGTCATATTTCACCAAATAACTTCTCAACTTAAGTCGTGTCGCGTAAACAACATGTCTGGAACTTGTCTTTACGTGTCCTGGCGGCTCAACTGACAGGATCAACACGCAATTGAAGTCTGGCGGACATTATGTAAATATTTTACCCTCAAACACCACACACGAGCTGATTGTGGTGCGGAGGGAGGCTGACGGCACGAGGAAGAACTAGATTTTATTTATATTTCGTACTAGAGTGAAATAGACATTTAATAACTGTATTAATTATATATTTTATTTTATTTATTTAGCAAGATGTTAACGGTACAGGTGGTGGTCGATGTATCAACGTGAAAACTGTACACACATCTTAGTTGACACACACACACACACACACACACACACACACACACACACACACCTATAAACAACTAATACCATCATGAATATAAAGTCAAGAATAAAGACATACCAAAAAAAAAAAAAAACATTACGCTAAAAAATTAATATCAAATACTGTCCATCAATCAGGGTTCCACACAATACAACTTTATTACCTTTTGTTAATAATAGTTTCATCTATTATCGAAAAACAATGTAATTCAGTCATAATAATTGATATATTCCTTAAGTCACTTTAATGGTAAATTTAAAATGATTTCCTTAGTATACAGAGAAATAAAATAGCATAAATTAATAGGGATGTTACAAAATAATATCGCACTTCAACAACTAAGATCTGTAAGCGAGTATTCTAGGTTAGTTCATACATCTCACAAGGTAAATTTTTACCTATTTTAAATTTAATAGTTCCAGTTGTCTGCGGACTGCCGGGAATAATAGGGAAATCTTTACCAGGAAGCTGTAAGCGATCTCAATTTAAGATAACTTGGAGGTGCCACAACAGAACCATAATTTTCTTCGTGGGTGGAGAGAGAGAGAGAGAGAGAGAGAGAGAGAGAGAGAGAGAGAGAGAGAGAGAGAGAGAGAGAGAGAGTACTACCACTGAAAACTCTCCTACTAATGCCAAATGGACATTCTCTAATGTACCAACAACGGAACAAAACCTCACCTCAGTAAACATTGTACAGCCCGGGACAGTTGGAAGCCCTGACGTTTTGTGTACGAATTCTGTATTAAAAACATAACAGTTACACCATTTAATTAACTACAACAAGTACGACACATTCAATTACACAAAAGTTAAAGAGGAACATGATATTAATACGACAGGCAGGAGGATTAGGATAGGGATGATATTGGACTCCCCCAGACTGGTGTTCAGCAGTGTTGGATGCCTTGGATATAATTAGATTTCATTCCCAGTTTTTTTTTTACATGTAAAACAAAAGGAAGAAATTATTACCAAATATAACATCTAAAAACTATCCCAGGAACACCTTACTGTCAGACAACTTAGCCACTTTTACCTATAATACCAGGCTTTAATAGTTACCTTTACTGCCACATATTTCCCATAAATAAGTAAACACAAAATCCTGCAACATTTTTCACTTCAAATGGCCGTATAACATAGCACATTGTTTTTATTAGAATGACAGATATAAAAATATACCTAATAACACTACACCAATGTTTGTGTTACTGTGCGTCGTTACCAAGCGTGTGTGGGGGCGGGTTGCGTAGTAGGAGTTTTCCTGTTTATGGTTATAGATGGTGAAGGTGGAATGCCTTCAGGTAAAGAGAGACGCTGGAGAGAGCAACAAGGATCCAAGGAACTACTGAAGAAGTTAAAACAGACATCATAACA